CCATGAGTTCCTGTGTCTATGAGCTCGTTGTCTGGGTTAATTTTCCTAGCTCTTGGATAGTCCGACAGACATACACACAGCCATGCAGATCGACAGAGGTTTTAGGTTTTGAATGACGGATCACCACCATGACACACGGATGTAACCCATAAGTGCTCCGTTATTCTTCTAACTCAAGTTTGAGTCCGAAGAAGCTCAGCACAGTGCACAGGCTCTGTAGCACCGGCGAGGATCCTGAAATACTTTGGGCAGATTTTAAATTCAAATTTTGTCCAGGCAGCGAGTGCTGTTAGGCTACTTTTTTCGATTTCCAAATGCCAAAAGATTTTTTTTTTTTTTACGTTAGCAGCAATGCACACGGGCGTCCGATCTCACTACCCAGAGACCAGGGGGAATTACTAGAAGTCCAAGTCTACGTATAAAAATTCCAGCCCTTACCGGGGATTGAACCCAGGACCTCCAGCACTCGAGGCTGACACCATGCCTCGGGACCACGCAGACCCCTGCAGATCGATATAAAAGACAGTCAGCCATCAAGACAGTTGAAAAACCAGACTGACAGACAACCATAAAGAATGTCAGTAATTCAGAACAAAAACAGATTATTAGAGATAATCAGGTAGACAAGCAGACAGACTCCACAAGCTATACACATTGTCTGATGTATTCGCTTCCTTTCCTTCATTGCTTCATCTCTTTCTTCCCCGCCCTGGCCGCTTTCTGTCCTTCTTCCCCATATTGTTACTATCTTTCCTTCCTTTCTCTCCCTCAATGTCTCCTCTACCTCCCCCTCCCTCATTGCATCGTCTCATCCCTCCGCGTCGCTCCTTGACTCTTCTGCCTTCCGTCCTATCCCTCTTTGCATGATCTCCCTCCCTCCCTCAATACCTCTTTTCCCAAGCCCACTTTATTGACTGACTTTCTCATCACACAAGCGATAAACACCGATTCCATGCGAATGAGGATCACCGTGGAGAGGTCCCAGAAACCGCCAGACTTTGGCCATAATGATGACCTCTGCGGCCCCCAGAGTGGGGCTTCAAATAACAAAAAATAACGTCCTCAATACCTCTTTAGTTTATCCCACTTTATTAATTCCACTATTCCCGCCTCCCTATCTGAAAATACCCCCCTTTCCGAGACAACACCCGCCCCTTCTCGTATCGATCCGCCCGCTAATTTTCCTGTAGTGAACCTTTGGCATTCAAATGTCAACTGTAAATGTCACAGTGGATCGGCGGTTCACACTGGACCCGCCTTGACGCGGGGAATCTCTTTTGACATTGTGAATCAATAACGACAACCGCCTAGGTAATGTGAACTGAGGAGTTGTTTCCCCTGATTGTTATCTGGCTGATTACGTTGTTGTCTCTGATTGTTATTTTGCTGATTACGTGGTTGTTTCCAGAGAGCCGGCGATTGGGTTGTTTTGTTCAAGGATGCTGTTGTTGTGTTTTGTGGTTGCTGCAGGGTTGTAGATCATCATCACCATCATTGTCTTTTTCTTCTTCTTCATCCTCCTCCTTTTCTTCCTCCTCCTCCTTCCATTTCTTCTTCTTCTTCTTCATCCTTTTCCTCCTTCTCTTCCTCTTCCTTCTTCTTTTCCTCCTTCTTCTATTTCTTCTTCTTCTTCTTCTTCTTCTTCTTCTTCTTCTTCTTCTTCTTCTTCTTCTTCTTCTTCTTCTTCTTCTTCTTCTTCTTCTTCTTCTTCTTCTTCTTCTTCTTCTTCTTCTTCTTCTTCTTCTTCTTCTTCTTCTTCTTCTTCTTCTTCTTCTTCTTCTTTTTCTTTCTTCTTCATCCTTCTTCTTCTTTCTTCTTCTTCTTCTTCTCTTCTTCTTCTTCTTCTTCTTCTCTTCTTCTTCTTCTTCTTCTTCTTCTTCTTCCTTTTCCTCTTCTGCTTTTCTTCTTCTTCTTCTTCTTCTTCTTCTTCTTCTTCTTCTTCTTCTTCTTCTTCTTCTTCTTCTTCTTCTTCTTCTTCTTCTTCTTCTTCTTCTTCTTCTTCTTCTTCTTCTTCTTTTTCTTCTTCTTCTTCTTCTTCTTCTTCTTCTTCTTCATATTCATATTCTTTTTCTCCTGCTTTCTGACTGAAAGCAAAACCAGCTGTGTTCGCAACCGCCACAGACGTCTAACCCCAGGCCCTACGACACAAATTCAATCTTTCTTCATTATCGACTTTTATCGATCACTCCTTCCTCTCTTAGCGAGGCTGGCGTCAGAAGTAAAAAGGACTGACTTTTATTTTGCTATTTAAGAAATTTTTGCTAGTCCATTCCAGGATATAAACCGAGTTGTGTCAATCCTGCTACGGAGTATGTGTTGCCTACCATATTTAGATTATAATCCTTCTGCTGAGAGGATTAGCTCAAGTCCTTGCCATAATGTTCTGTCATTCTCTTGAGCTTGTGTGAAAAGTCTCCTCTTGCGAGCGGAAGTGCAAATACGTATCCCACAATTCTTAGCGCAAGCTATATGCGTATCCTAGCAACGTACGCTTGCTGACAGAAAAAAAGCGGCGAAAATATTTCCTGGTAACTGATTGGCTGTCTCTTCTCTTCTTGTGTAGCTTTTCACTTTAGTTCCCTCTTTGATCGTAATTGTCCTTTTCTATATGTAACAGGCTGGTGACAGAAGGTAGATTTCTGGCCTGTTTATTTTAGTTTAACAACCTATAGCTGCTGGCACTGGCCAGGTGGGTCAGTGGAACTCTTCAGTATTGTCCAGCACGTCACGTGAGTCGTGGAAGGTGATAAAAGGCCTGATTCTGTTAACAGTTTCCCTTTCCAGCGATAGCGGTAACAGAGGCTAGAAGCCCTTCCGATTTGTCGCCCAAACCGTACACGGTTAAAGCGCAAATTAGGTTCAGACTGCATAACGGTACTACCTGGTCGTTGGTCTGCTAGTAGTTGTCAGTATTTTGTTATTCATTGATTTACTAGTTGCTTGGTTAGTTTCTACTGGTCTGCTTATGTACGTTCAGTTATAGTTCTTTAGTATATTTTAGTTTTTGGAGTGTTGTCAAGAATTATTGTTATGTCATCAACAATAAAGTTTCTGTATTCGTCCAACTTACATTCGTGTTATTTTAGTTAGTATGTCTAGGTTTTACTGTTAAAACTATATTAGACCCCACACAGAAGATTTCCTGCCAGGGTGAGATACTTTGATTTTACCCCCGCCTAAAAGAACTTTTTCTCTTTTTTTTCTTGCTACTGAGGCAGCTTATGGTTGGGTTTGGCTCGCCACACGACATTATTGAGAGCTCTTGTAGGTTCGGAGTCGAGATTTCAAGGAGTAGGTTTCCATATTATCCTTACAGTTATCTCTTCTCTTCTCCCTTCATCACAAGTTAACCCCCTCCTCAGCTTTTGCTTCTAGTACAAGTGGCGTCGTCGACAAGGATTAGGTGGCCAGTATTTGTTTTGTGCGTTGTCTAGATAGTCCAGTTTGGCATAGGGTTAGGTTAGGTTGCTTTTGGAATAGTCTGTGCTAGGGTTTGTCTTGTGGTATTGCTAGTGGAGACCAGGTAGTTACCCAACATCCGTGCAGTGCTGTACCTGGAGGATTCCCTTTGACGTGTGAGGGAATAGCTGGATCATGAGTCAGCGTTCAACACGGTCTGGTGCCAGAGAGGGGCAGGAAGAACCCCCATCTCTTACATTGGGAACCAATGATTCCCACCCAGCGTACGCTCCCAGTCATGAGCTCGCTGAGACAGTAAGGTATGTTGTGTTACCTACTCGCCGCAACATCAGGACATTTGGCAGTCCAGGTGGTCCATCGATTGAAGAGTATTTAAGGGAGGTGAAGGCTGTCTGGAGAGCGTGCGCAGTGGGGACAGCAGACAAGCTTGATGTCGTTTTAGACAGCATCACCCCTACTGTGCGACGGGAGGTAAAACTCCATTGTTCAGATGATGACCCAGAGGCCATGCTGGAGGCAATGTTGAAGATCTATGGGGAACACAAATCCCTCCAAGAGCAGATGGCAGTTTTTTCTATACAACGAAGCAGGGAAGCAAGGAGTCTGTGATGGAATTTTCACACAGGCTCCATGCTGCATTTGAAGCCATAACAGATGCACAGTCAAGTGGCGGTGTGACTGTCATGACCCAGCAGGTCCTGAGGGATCAGTTCATTGCTGAGCTGCGCAATGAGCTGACCAAGCGCTGTTAAAAGAGCGAGTACTCCAAGAACCTTCGCTGACATTTTTGGCTGCTAGGGACTATGCCCTTAGGTGGGCGAATATAAATAATGAACTTCACCTGCAGTCCCGAGGTAGAGACATTAATTGTGCCGTGGTTAGTCAGACAGAGCCCAGTGTATCAGGCCCATCAACTAGAGCGCTGGAAGACAAGATTGACTCGTTGTCTAAAGAACTGTCGCTGTTGCGGGCACATGTCGCTGGCACGAGGTACGACACAAGACCCAGGCAGAGAGTTATCCGTTGTGCCAGATGTGGTGGTCTAGGCCATTTGCAAAGCCGGTGCAGACAGGCAATAAACTAGACCCCGCTATGACTAGGAGTCAGGTTGCAGCCGGGGAGCGTGTTGGCTCACAGGTGAAATTAATAGGCGGTAGACCAGAGTGTAATGTGACTATACGCAACAAGATCTGTTAGGTGTATTTTAGACACAGGTTCACAAGTGTCGACCATCTCTGAAACATGCTTTAACGAACTGTTTAGCGGAGTCCAGTTAGAAGTAGAGAATTTTGTCAAGTTAACTGCAGCTAATGGTACTAACATTCCATATTTAGGCTACCTGATCTGTAATGTAAAAATAGGTTCCACTTATATTAAAAATTGTGGTGTATATGTGGTTAGAAGATTGTAGAAATAAAATGGTTCCTGGAATTATCGGCACTAATATTTTAGCAGCTGTGCCTGATCTGTGTAGATATTTAAAGTTAAAAGATTGTAAACCGGTTGATCCACAACAAGAAGTCAGCCAGGTTAAAGTGTGGGTTGTGGGAGGCAGCAAGATCCATGTGCCTGCCCATTCAATGGTAGTACTTCAAGTGAAAGGTAGAGTAGGGATGACTGTAGATAGAAATGTCCTTTTCGAACCGGCCAGGGACTTGGAGCACAAGGGTTTGATTTTGTCCCACACTGTTACTGTACTGCGACACGGTGTATGCCTAGTCCAGGCCATCAACATGGGGGACGAAGACTTGTTCTTGGCAAAAGGCACCCAGGTCGGTGCGATTTCAGATGCTACAGTAGACTTAAGCAAGCATTTCAAAGTAGTTGGTGCCCAAGAAGTCCAAATTTTGTCATCACCAGTTAGGGGGCATGATGAACCAACCAAATGTCCCATTGACCTGAGTAATTTTGAGGGTAGCGATAGTGAGAGACAGCAGCTAGAGGCATTGATATTAAAGTATGACAGTCTATTTGCCAAAGATGACTGCGACATTGGGTACACTGACAGGGTCACCCATAATATTTCTTTATCAGATGATACCCTGTTAAACAACCATATCGGCGGATTCCACCAGCGTTTTACAGGAGAAGTACAGGACCATTTACAAGGGTTGTTAGAGAAACAAATTATTAGAGAAAGTTCCAGCCCTTGGGCATCCCCTATTGTGTTAGTAAGAAAGAAAGATGGTACCCTTAGATTGTGTGTTGACTATAGGTCCTTAAATAGTAAAAACAAAAAAGGATGCTTATCCACTTCCCCGGGTTGATGAATATCTTGATGCCTTGGGGGGAGCAAAACTGTTTAGCTCTTTAGATTTAGCAAGTGGGTATTATCAAGTCGCCATGGCACCAGAGGATAGAGAGAAAACAGCTTTTACCACACCATTCGGTTTGTTTTGAATATAATCGAATGCCGATGGGTCTTGCAAACTCAGCGAGTACCTTCCAACGGCTTATGCAGTGTACGATGCATGACCTTTTTTTCAATGTTCTGCTTGTATATCTTGATGATATTTTAATATTTTCAGGTGATTTTAAGGATCATATTATAAGGTTAGAGAGGGTGTTTAACAGATTGTCCTCACTGGGTCTTAAGTTGAATCCAAATAAATGTAATTTTTTGTAAACCTAAGATAGAATTTTTAGGACATACCATTTCGGCTGAGGGGATTGGAGCTGTAGAAGAGAAAATAGCAGCCATCCAGCAAGCACCCATTCCGAGAACCCAGACTGAATTAAGAGCTTTCCTAGGCCTTGCAAGCTATTACAGGAGGTTTGTTCCAAAATTTTCCACAGTTGCACGCCCATTGCATGAACTGGTTGCCCAGTTAAATTTACAGGTTGACAAGCATAAGAAGAAAAAGAACCCTATTGGCGAGTTGTGGTCTCCTGAATGTGATGATGCATTTAACCAGCTAAAAGGGCACTAACATCTACGCCGCTGCTGGGCTTTCCAGATTTTTCCCAACCCTTTATTTTAGAAGTTGATGCCTCATACCAGGGTTTAGGGGCAGTGTTATCACAGATTCAAGGAGATGCAAAAAAAGTTTTTAGCTTATGCTAGCCGAACCTTACGTCCCTCCGAGCGTAATGCTAAGAGTAGTCTAAAACTTGAACTTTTAAGTCTGAAGTGGGCGATGACGGAGAAAATTTAGAAGTTACCTCTTAGTTCTCAAGTCGAAGTTTATACTGATAATATGGGTTTGTCATTATGGAAGAAGGCAAGCTTGGGTGCTATAGAGCAAAGATGGTTAGCACAAATGTCTGTTTTTAACTACAAAATTCAACATAAACCTGGTCGAGCCAACGGAAATGCTGATTATTTGTCACGCTATCCGATTGGTGAACCAGAAGATTCGGATGAGGGAGGTGATGTTTCTATAAACCATGTTGCTTCATCACCGATTCCTCCAGAGTTAGGTTTGAGATCTTTAGATAGAGAAGCTAATTTGAATGTAATTGAAGTTATTCCAGATGGAATTTTCTGATGTAAACCTTAACATAAATCATAATGATTGCTCATCACTACCATCTTATTCCATGGTTGAGTTAGTCAAATTGCAAGAAGAAGATACAAGTATTAGCAGAGTTATGGAAATAATCCTTAACAGTGTGAGAGTGTCCAAGGGAGAGATAAGGAAGTTTACCACTTAGTGTTAAAAAGCTGCTTAGGCAGCGCAAAAGATTACATATTGTAAAATATTTGTTGTATAGGAGAATTAAGGGGCATAGTGGTGCAGATGTTTTGCAGCTTGTAATACCAGATGCTTTGAAGCAAAGAGTTTTAGAATCTGTCCACAGTGTTGGTCACCAGGGTAGAGATAGGATGTTGCATATTCTTAAAGACAGATGTTTTTGGGTTGGTATTACCGACGATGTAGAGAAGTTTTGTAAACGATGTGCTAGATGTAACATTGCTAAACCACCTCACATAAAAAATACAAGGTCCCACTGGTAACTTGTTAGCATCAAAACCATTTGAGATTGTTGCAATTGATTTTACCCTACTTGAAAAAGACACCAAGGGGTTTGAAAATGTTTTAGTAATTACTGATGTTTTTAGTAAATTCACCATTGCTGTTCCTACCAGGGATCAGAAGGCATCAACAGTTGCCAAGGCACTTGTTGAAAAGTGGTTTTTGTATTTTGGGGTGCCGCAGAGATTGCACTCTGATCAAGGCAGAAATTTTGAATCTACTATTATTTCACAGCTGTGTCGAATGTATGATATTAAAAAAAGTCACACAACGGCATACAATCCAAAAGGTAATGGCCAGTGTGAAAGATTTAACCGCACTTTGCATGATTTGCTGAGACCACTAGCGGCCAGTGAGAAAAGGAGATGGTCCGACCATTTAGCTGAAGTCCTGTTAGCGTATAATTCGACACCTCACGCATCAACAGGGTACTCTCCATATTATTTAGTGTTTGGTAAGGAGCCTAATTTGCCCATTGATTTTATGCTTAGTTTAACAACTGATGAGGGTGGAACAGAGAGTGTAGATGGGTGGTTGCAAGAACATTTGGCACGCTTGCATGAAGCTCACTGTAAGGCAAACGCTCATCTCAAGCAGGCGGCAGCTGTTAGAAAAGATAGATGTGACAAGTTTGCCCATGGCATACCACTACAGGTGGGTGAAGTGGTTAGAAAGAGACTACACTATAATGAGAGGGCAAAAATCAAAGATATGTGGTCTGTAGAGAAATATGTAGTGACTCGGGCACCAGCAATGTCTGGGGGCCCTTATGTAATAAAGAAAATTGGTGTAGAAGCTCCAGTGATCAGAGTAGCTGGTCATGAGTTAAAGCGCTGTGAAGAAGATGCTGCTGAAGAGATACCTGTGACACTTGGATTGCCTGAGCATCCTGTGGTCACAGCCGATGAAGATTCACAGTCAGAGTCAGGATGGTATATTTTCCAACCAGGGGATTTAGGTGTTCGGCGTTCAAGTAGAGCTCGCCACTCTGAGAACAGGCGGAAGTGGGGTGAGGATTTTATATATTTGTAGTTGCATTTTTTTTGTAAAAATGAGTTGAATAGAGGTAAAGAGGAGGTGATGAATTATTGAACTTGTTTTGGGACTCCCATATTTTCATGATTTTTCAATTATTTACAGAATTGATGTAGTTTTTCCGTATATGTTCATTATACATTTTTTGTTTTGATTTGGTTTCTGTGGCATCCACTGATGTATTATACATTTTTTTGTTTCGATTTCGGTGACATCCACTGATGTATTTTTAATAATGTTGAATATGTATTGTGCAAATGTATACTACGTCATGGAATTTTTGCCGGTGGTTAAGACCCCTAATTTAGTGGGATGTAGGATAGTTCAAAGGGTTCAATAGGCAGTGATCTATTTTTATTACTGGGTTGTCGGGACGTCAACAGATTTAGTATGGGAACGTGTAACAGGCTGGTGACAGAAGGTAGATTTTTGGCCTGTTTATTTTTGTTTAACAACCTGTAGCTGCTGGCACTGGCCAGGTGGTTCGGTGGAACTCTTCAGTGATGTCCAGCAGGTCACGTGAGTCGTAGAAGGTGATAAAAGGCCTGATTCTGTTAACAGTTTCCCTTTTCAGCGATAGCGGTAACAGACGCTAGAAGCCCTTCCGATTTGTCGCCCAAACCGTACACGGTTAAAGCGCAAATTAGGTTCAGACTGCATAACGGTACTACCTGGTTGTTGGTCTGCTAGTAGTTGTCAGTATTTTGTTATTCATTGATTTACTAGTTGCTTGGTTAGTTCTACTGGTCTGCTTATGTACGTTCAGTTAGTTCTTTAGTATATTTTAGTTTTTGGAGTGTTGTCAAGAATTATTGTTATGTCATCAACAAATAAAGTTTCTGTATTCGTCAACTTACATTCGTGTTATTTAGTTAGTATGTCTAGGTTTTACTGTTAAACTATATTAGACCCCACACAGAAGATTTGCTGCCAGGGTGAGATACTTTGATTTTACCCCCGCCTAAACGAACTTTCTTTTTCTCTTTTCTTTTCTTGCTACTGAGGCAGCTTACGGTTGGGTTTAGCTCGCCACGCGACATTGTTGAGAGCTCTTGTAGGTTCGGAGTCGAGATTTTAAGGAGTAGATTTCCATATTATCCTTAGTTATCTCTTCTCTTTTCCCTTCATCACAAGTTATCCCCTCCTCTGCATTTGCCTCTAGTACATATAGATAGCTGCAAGTTTTATTGTAACACTTGATTGTAACTATTCTCTTCTATACTTGGCTGTAACCTTCCTCTTGTATATTTCCTTGTAATTTTTCTCTCTTTTAGATAGTTATAGCTTTCCCCTTCTACACGTGATTTAACTTCTCTTCTATACTTTTTTTTAAAACTCCTTTCTTCCACATTTGGTTGTAACTTTCCACATCAACACTTATAATGTCCCCTCTTTTTTTTTTTAGTGGTAACTTTAATCTTATTTACTTGTTTGTAACTTACCTCTTCAATACTTGATTTAACCTTCTTCTTCCACGCTTAGCTGTAACTTTCCTCTTCTATACGTGGCTGTAACTTTCCTCCTCTACACTTGGCTCTAACTTTCTTCTTCTATTCGTGGCTGTAACTTTCCTCCTCTACACTTGGCTGTAACTTTCCCTTTTCTACACTTGGCTGTAACTTTCACTTTTTTACACGTGGCTGTAACTTTCCTCTTCTACGCGTGGCTGTAACTTTCCTCTGCTCACTTGGCTGTGACTTTCATCTTTCACACTTGGCTGTAACTTTAATCTTTCACTCTTGGCTGTAACTTTCATCTCTTCACACTTGGCTGTAACTTTCATCTTTCACACTTGGCTGTAACTATCTTCTTCTATGTTTCGCTGTAACTTTCCATTTATTTACATAGTTGTGTTTTTCCTCTTCTACAGTTGGCTATAATTTGTCGGTAACACAAGTGGCTGTAACTTTTCTTTTCCACATGTGGCTGTAACCTTTGTCGTCCCCTCTTGGCTGTTACTTTTCTCTTCTGTATATCGTTGTACATTTCAGATTTTCAATTTCTTGGGGCCTTTTCTCTTCCACACTTGGCTGTAACTTTCCTATTCTGTGTTTCGTTGTAACCTTTCTTTAATATATTTCTTAGTAACTTTCCTCTTTATTTACATACTTATAACTTTCCCCTTCTTCAGTTGGTTGTAACTTTAATTTTCTACACACACAAAATTAAGTCGAGAGAACGAACATCATTGC